TAGCCAGGATGGTCTCGATTTCCTGACCTCGTGATCCGCCCTCCTCAGCCTCCCAAAGTACTGGGATTCCAGGCCTGAGCTGCCATGCCGGGCCTACTCTTGGCTTTTAAAAGAATGGGGCAGATTGCTTTTTCTTTACTACTTCTATCCTTTTCTCTCTCTCTTTGACACTGTCTCTCTCTCACTTTCTCTGTTCCCCCTGTCAGTGTTTCTCTTTCCTCTAAGATGTTTTTTTCCTGTCTCAGAATCTCTTTTATAGGCTTATTTTTCTAGTTCTGTTTCCTTTGTAATTTGTGGTTAATACCTGGCCAATTGTTAGTGACAAATTCCTTTCCCAAGAGGATTCTTGACACCTAACCAGCATATTCTCTCATTCTTTTAATCTGTTCTGTTCTTTTTCTTTGAGACGGAGTCTCACTCTGTCGCCCAGGCTGGAGTGCAGTGGCACGATCTCGGCTCACTGCAAACTCTGCCTCCCAGGTTCACGCCGCCATCCTCCTGCCTTAGCCTCCTGAGTAGCGGGGATTACAAGCGCCCGTCACCACGCCCGGCTGATTTTTTGTATTTTCAGTAGAGATGGGGTTTCACCGTGTTAGCCAGGATGGTCTCCATCTCCTGACCTTATCATCCGCCCGCCTTGGCCTCCCAAAGTGCTGCAATTACGGGTGTGAGCCACCACGCCTGGCCAAACATGTTTATGGTAAAATTTTGTGATGGGAAAACTGTCATCCCAGAAAATTTTGAGACCTGATGCTTAGGCCTCAGCAGCTCGGAGAATACGTACTTCTGTCCCATAACACCCAAACGTCAACCTGTCAGTTCCCCACTAGGAACAAAATGTAACTGGGGACGTTGTCGTACGCTTGGCCTCGTCACCCTGGGCGTGTTGGCTGGTATCCGATTCTTATGGATTCCCGTTCTTGCCTGCACATGCCCGATAGCAGATCAATGACAATAGCCATTGGAAGCTTAGGAAAAGCGTTTGTAACGTGAAAAAGTAGAGGACCCTTTAGCCATCGCCTGACTTTACGTCGAATTGGGAAATAGTCTCCTCCCGTCCACGTGGGATGGCCTTCCCGATGTGCCCTCCAAGACCGTCCCTGGGGGATAAAACCCCACAAATGAACCAGCCTCTGTGCTGGGGATGGGGCCTCCTCATGCCAGGTCTGACTGGGAAGGAGGATGGTGAGGCAGTGTGGGGAAAAGAAAGATCAGACTGTCACTGTGTCTATATAGAAAGAAGTAGACATAAGAGACTCCATTTTGTTCTGCATTTGAGATGCTGTTAATCTGTGACCCCCACCCCCAACCTTGTCCTTGCAAGAGACATGTGCTGTGGTGACTCAAGGTTGAAAGGATTTTGGGCTGTGCAGGGTGTGCTTTGTTAAACAAGTGCCTCAAGGCAGTATGCTTGTGAAAAGTCATCACCATTTTCTTAATCTCAAGTGTACATGTCCCTGGGTACTTGAGATTAAGAAAAACATGTACACTGCCAAAGGTCGCAGGGACCTCTGCTTAGGAAAGCTAGGTATTGTCCAAGCTTTGTCCCCATGTGGTTGTCTGAAATATGGCCTTGTGGGAAGGGAAAGACCTGATCCTCCCGCAGCCTGACACCTATGAAGGGTCTGTGCTGAGGAGGATTAGTATAAGAAGAAAGAAGGCCTCTTGGCAGTTGAGATAGAGAAAAGCATCTGTCTCCTGCCTGTCCCTGGGCAATGGAACATCTCAGTGTAAAACTGGATTGTGTGTTGTGTTTACTGAGAAAGGAGAAAATCGCCTTAGGGCGAAAGGTGGGACGTGCTAGCGCAATGCTGCTCTTTATGCACTAAAAAGATTTATGGAGATGTTTGCATATGCATATCAAGGCATTTTTCCTTAAACTTGTGTCACAGAGATCTTTATTCATATGTCTTACTACTGACCTTCTCCCTACAATGATCCTATTATCTTGCCACTTCCCTTTTTCTAAGATGGTAAAGATAATGATCAATAAATACTGAGGGAAC